GGAGTTTGCATGAGTTGATGGTTTCCTTTTTCGTAGCGATCAATTATGTATTCCAGAGGGTAGTTTGAGATTGAAGATTGTTCAAGAATTGCACAATGAGGGCCATGTGGGTCGTGATAAAACATTGCAGCTTGTTGCTGCTTCTTACATTTGGCCATCATTGCGCAAGGACGTCGACAAATTTGTAGAGCATTGTCGTACTTGTCATTTGGCTAAAGGCAAGGCTACAAATGCTGGCTTGTATATACCCCTACCTATCCCAACCCAGCCTTGGATAGATGTTAGCATGGATTTTGTTGTGAGGCTTCCCAGGACTCAGCGTGGATTTGACTATATCTTTATAGTCGTTGATCGGTTCTCCAAGATTGTTCACTTCATCCCCTGTAAGAAAACTGTAGATGCTGTCAATGTGGCCTTACTGTACTTTCGTGAGGTCTATCGCCTGCATGGTCTGCTTACATCTATTGTGTCTGATCGAGATACTCGCTTCCTCAGTCACTTCTGTCGTAGTTTATGGCGCTCGGTCAATACAAAGTTGGACTTCAATAATGCATATCACCCTCAAATAGATGGTCAGACAGAGGTTGTTAATCATTCCTTGGGTGATTTACTACGTTGCTTGGTTGGTGATCACATCAAGTCCTGGGATCAGAAGTTGTGTCAGGCAGAATTTGCTTATAATCATGTTGTTAACCGGAGTACATGTTTTACTCCATTTCAAGTGGTGTATGGTCTTGTTCCTCGAGGTCCCCTTGACTTGGTCCCGATTTCTACTATTGTTAAAATGCATGGTAAGGCCGAAGACTTCGCATGGTAAGGCCGAAGACTTCATTCAACAATTGCAGCAAGTTCACTCACAGGCTCATGATTAGTTGCAGGCTACTGTTACTAAGTATAAGCATGATGCGAATCTTAAACGCCTACATGTTGAATTTGAGGTAGGTGACTTTGTTTGGGTAGTGTTAACAAATGATCATATTCCTGCTCATGAATACAACAAGCTTACTGCAAGAAAGGTTGGTCCATTGGANCATCTTTACAAGTTACAACCCAAATACCTCATTGATTTGTTGACCCCTTTCCTTCCTTGCATTGCTCCCACATCCATTGGAATTTGATGAAGTGCATAAGGAGTTAGAATTTAAGATGAAGTGGGATCGCAAGGCAAAATAATGATTTCATGATAACTTCGTGTTTGTCCTTTTTGGCGAATTGCTAGTCTAATTCGATTGAAAAGGGCCAATGATCACAACTCAGCGCCTTTAGCCCTGATGTACGTCGAATTTTGGGTAAATTCTATCGTTTAGGCCCTTGATTAAGCGTTTTTGCCGTTTATGGTAATTTTTATTTTGGCAATATCTCATTCAATAAAATTCGGATTCGTATTCCGTTTAACGGGAGGACAATCCTGAATCTTAGAAGTTTCTATTTAAGTTGTTATCTTGAATTTTTCCATTTATGGAAAAATATTATTATTATTATTTTTATTATTTATTTTTCAAATTTTGCGACGGTTTTACTATTTAAAATATTGTAAGCCCTTTGAGGCCACAGTTTATTGAATTGAATAAAGTTTCTCGTGAGTTTTCTCATATTTGTAAGGTTATTCATCTTTCCTATAATCTTTCGCTACGTCACCTCAGGAGACATGTTCAGGGTTCAAACTTGTTTGTACTTTAACCAACTTTATAGGTGGAAATAATGACTATTCTGGTCCTTTAGATGAAGATATCAGTTGGTCATCGATACTTGATGATGATGATGATGATGGAAAATAGATTTCCAATTTGTTTTCTGATGAAATTCAAGAAACTTCTGCTACTTTGCTACCTTCAAATCCACCTGTGCTTGAGAATGGAGGGGAAAATGATACTGTGTTCAGCCAAATGTATGATTATGCCAAACATTGATATCTTGTCCACTCAACAATTCTTGGACAAGTGTGATCTTTCTAGTACTTCCTCAAATCAAGTGAACACTCAACCTCTTCACCTAAAGGTACTCATTGATTAATAATCATTTGTCATATGAAATTGGTCTTTCCCAAATTTTATTTTGTATAACTAGACAACCGCATGCATCTGGTTGGCAACATATTGCTAAACATAAAGATCGGGAGAGCCATTACGAATGACAATGAAATACAAGCAACGATCAACTAGGTTCTCAATCAATGTCAGTATCAGATCCTGTAATTTTGTTTCATGATTCTGAACCCGAAGCCCTTTAAAATCCTTGAATTCAATGTCAAAACTTACACGAGAACTCTACCTTTGTTCATCAATCAGTATTTTTGATAAAATAGTTGCCTCAACAATTAAATGAAGCTTCTTGGTGACCTGCCTTTCATTTTTACTTTTGAAGATTGCGCATGAGTTGCACGTAGTAAAAAATATATGAACAAACTTTTATCTAAGAAACGGGACATTTAGATCTTAAAATTAAAAGGAATGATAAATCAACTATTTTTTACTAGTCTGTTATTTAAGAATCAATCGTTGATGTGTCGTATAGATTTATTAGTTAGTCGATTTCAATGGTTGCATTATTGTTGATTGATTCAGAGAAAGAAAATTGTTTTTTCAAATGTAGTAGTGTGACAGAGTGAGTTTGATCACTCATCGAAAAAGGGCTTGTTGAATCCAACATCAATTAAGAGATTTCAGCAAAAGAAAAGGTCCATAGCAAAAGGAAAAGAAACAATAGAATATCAAAAGACAAAAAAATGTTGATGACAATTGAGTATCTGCAGCTTGCGTTTAATGTTGCAACAAAGTGAAAGGTACTAAAATTTCAAATAAGATGTACGTCATATTTGAATTATGATCTTTTATCTCAGCGAGGGTGCTATCGCTCGAACGGCAGCGAGGCGAAAGGCGGGCGACAATGTTTTTATTTCCGACGGTTTTCTGACACTCTAGCCAAACCTTAGTGACAGTCTAGAAAAATTCCGGCGTCACCTTTTCCTCTTTTTTTTGCCTCTAACCCTAACCTAACTTATCTGTACAAAATTGCATCCAAGACCTTGACTTTTTACAAGTGTTCAATTAAGACCCTTTTGTTCACAAACATGCCAATTACAACATTAGACCTAACAATCTCCCCCTTTGGTATTTTGTGACAAAACCATACAAATAAAGTCAAGGAAATAAAATACATCAAACTAAACTCCCCAATCTATACTATCCAAGTTACTCAAGTTCTTATACTTCTTGCATTCCTTGGTATATTTGTTTCCTGAGATCAAAAATTCAATACCCAATGTAAAAGCACGTGATATAGGAAATAAAAACTCATAAGCACAAATAAGCATGCTAGTTTGAGACGTGACATTAATGTCAATCAAAACACCAACCGAAACATCAACATCACAAAACATCAAAAATCAAACAACTATGCATATGATATGCAATGCACATGCTCCCCATTGCTGCAAACTTTCAATTTTTTGATGCCGTAGGCAAATGTATCTAAGTCTCTCCCCAACGACCCCTCAACATAAAATGCAGATACAAATCAAATCTCAATTTCATTAAATGTTCCCCCTGTGTATATTCTTTTTCCCCTTTTTTTGTCACAAATGACTAAGGGTGTAATGTCAAATTCAATTTTAAACATGAATATATAACAGTCTAAAAAGTAGTTGATAACATGCACAAGCATAATTAACAAGTAGTAAACCTCCCCACGTACTCAATTTAATTCAGTGGAGCAAATTGTACAAGTGACCCATGTGTCTAAAGTGTCACCAATCCTTTGTAAGCAGGACTCCAAACCTTAATTTTGTGAGAAATGGCATGCTACACATTACTGCCAATAAGTGTATTCCTCTACTTATCAAATTCGAACAATTTAAAGAACATTAGGACCTGTAAATAAAAGCTCATTTTGTATTTGATGATTTCTTTTCTCTCCCTGACTATGAGCATATTTTACTTTCATATCTTTTAATATTGTAAACTCATTATTATTTTTCACATCTTAAGTGCAGGCTCTTCTTTACTAAGTGACCAAAATGACCCATGTAATGAGCTTTAGGTCGGTTAACCCAAGTCAGTTGACCATAGGCATCAAGTTATGAGAAACCTCATAGACTTAATTACTTAAGTCAAATAGGCTCCAAAGAAGAACATAAGATAATGAGCATTTTATTACCGAGAATAAACTTAAGTGTAGGACTAATAAATATGGTCAATTCATGTTCAAAGTTACCTTACTAACATGTGATAGTCATCCTAAATCTCACATACGCGGTAAAGTCCCACTAACAATTTCATAGTGTGTGTAGTGCAAATGGTACATGAAGACACATATACTAAGTACTCCATAATAACCTAAGAAAGTAATGGAAACTATGTTACATCTTATCAATTATGTCCATACATGATCACAACCTGCAAGTTTAAGAAAGTCATATTATGCTGTGATAAAGTTACCATTCCCATTTTTTATTCTTCAAATTTTTTCAAATTTTTTTTTTTTGTTTTTATATTAAAGCATGAATGCACCAACCACAAAAAAAGTCAAACAAACTGAAAAAAAAAAAAAACAAAATGAATGAGTTTTCTACCTAGAAAACAAATAAGCAGATGTGATGTGTGCATAAATCAGTGACACAATAATAAAATTCGAGCATGCATCAAAAATACCTAATCATTTAGGTATGAAAATGCTCTTACCTTTAAGAGTATCGTGATCTATATCATAGTTTTTCAGATCACTTTTCTTCACCCAGACTTACCTAGTGACAAGAATATTTCCGATCATCTGTGTCATTAACGTGACCAATTTACTTACCTGATTAGTAAGGAAGTTAATCTGACCAACATAATCCTGATTCTTATTTCTATTTAAGTTCCCATTTCTATTTCTATTCAAGAAATGATGACACATAGGCTTTATGTGTCCTAAATCACCGCAGTGAAAACATGTAGCGATAAACCTAGGACCAAAGGTATGAGGATACTAATGTCTATTCCTAGGTCGACGGGTCATACTCTGTCTAGTGGGCACCAGTCTAACAAATCCCTTATCCTTAAGATCGAGGTTAGGCACATGTTTAGGATGGTTAGTAACAAGGACAAACGTGGTCTTAGAAGTGCTAGCACTATTTTATTTAAAACCTAGAACTCGCTTATTTCCAGCCAGTTTGCCCATTCCTAAAATGTTATCTACCTTTTCAGAATCACTAGAGAAGGCAAGCAATTGAGACTTAGAATATTCTAGATCGCTCAGAAGGTTTTTAACCTGGATTTCTAAGGTCTCTTTCCCAATGGTCAACTCGTCGACTCTCCTAGATAACTTCTTTAGCTCACTGGTGAGGTTCTTAACCTGAGTCTCTAAAGTTTCATTTATGGATTTCACATCATTCAGGATCGAGGTAGACTCCTTAATGTGCGCTTACTAACTTCTCATTTTCCAATTCAAATTCCTTATTTTTCTCACTCAAGGCTTTGTTTTTAGTAAGAATTTTAAGACTCTCCTCATACATCTTATCATAAGCCTCTTGGATATCTTCCTCGCTCACAAACTCTTCATTAGAATCCTCATCATTATCTAAGTCCTCTTCTCTTTCACTCCACTGGTCAGATCCATTCTTAATTCTAGTATTAAAGGCATATGTTTTCCACTTTCCTCGCAAGTGGATTTCTCACTCCGATTGTCCGAGTTAGACTCGTCATCAGTGAGAGTAGCATTCATAGCTTTATCTGACTTTCTCCTACTGCTAGAGCACTCAATCCTAACATGGCCAAAACCTCGACAATTATGGCATATCACAAATTTAGAGCTCTTCCTAGACTCACTTGGACCACTTCTATGTCTCTCTTTAAGTTTCTGTTTATTCCTAAACAATTTTTGAAATTTCTTAGCAAGGTAAGCTAATTTCCCATCATTAGGAGAATCTGAATCTGAGGACTCCCTATGACTATTGCTCACAACGTTTAAGGCCAAGGACTTATCGTTTGTCGATTTAGCTAATGTCAGCTCATAAGTTTGGAGAGATCCAACCAGCTCTTCTACCTTAATAGAGTCTATATCCTTACTCTCCTCAATAGTAGTGATTTTAGGCCTAAACTTTTCAGGTAAGGATCTAAGAATTTTTCTTACAATTCCAGACTTCGGGATTCTCTTACCTAGGTTGAAACTAGAATTCACTATGTCGTTTAAGCTTGCATAGAAGGCATCAAACATCTTATCTTCTCTCATTCTAATCTCTTCAAATCTAGTTGTCAATATCTGTAACTTAGAGTTCTTAACAGCATGAGTTCCCTTTTGTGTGGTATGTAGAATATCCCAAACCTCTTTGGCTATCTCACACATGGGCACTTGCCTAAATTTTTCAGGGGACACTGTCATAAATATGGCATGTAAGGCTTTGCTATTCCAATTACATTCATCTAAGTTTGTCCTAGTCCAATTATCAATGGGAGTGGGGGTCACTACGTTGTCTACAGTTGTACTAGGGCCACTCCAACCATTCACCACACTCAACCAATTCTGTTCATCCATAGAGTTTAAGAACGCTCTCATCCTAACTTTCCAATAGACATAGTTATTGCCATCAAAGTATGATGGGGCGGACAATGAACTACTCACCTAGAAAAATTAAGGTCAGGAATTGAAATAAGGCTCTCATGCCAATTGAAAATACGTAGTTTACTAAGTAATTTTGACCTTACATGCGAAATTATTCTATTAAAAGTAACAAGTTATTTTTAACAGTTTCTAGATGATTATGCATATGATTCAATTATCCTATGTTTGAATACTACAATTTGTAATATGGAAAACAATAAAGAATGAATACCAAAATGATGATGGAGAAACCCAACTAGGTAAAAACTCTAGGACCAACCCAGTTACCTCCACTATAGACAATATGGATTACAGTCCGGTTTCAGCCTAGTAA